ATTATACATTATTATTTCATAGCGTGGGGAATGCGCAAGCCATGTGTTATCCACTAGAGCGTTTTGGAGTCATTTGATGGTGTATTTGATTAGTTTTGAGGGAGAGAGGGGGCCATACAGTTCACCTCCATTTTGTGCGCTGAGCAGCAGGCAGCTCTGCCCCACCGATTTCAGAACAGCAGGCACTGACAATTAAAGGTAATGTACCTAATCATATGACTATACCGATTACGGCAATAGGCGAATGTCGAACTATCCCTTTAAGGCAGATTGAGCCCCCCAAAAGTCTCAGGGACTGATGTCAGCTTGCCAGATCTCATGAACTCATCTCCTACAATCCAAAAGGTCACCTGAGTTTTACAAGTATGGAATAAATTATTGCTTTTGACTTGTGTGTAAAATTCTGGGGCCAAATGGCCAGCTCAGGTATGCTACGCATCTTTCCAATTGGCTGAAATGAATTCCGATTGGAGCACTGCAGACCAAAATTCAAAACAGACCTTCAGTAGACAAATAGATATGCCTGAAAGCGCTTTTATGAATCCATTCCAACTATTTCCAATAACTCGTCTCCTCCATTTTGGGCCATATCTGTGAACTGAGGTCTGCAGTTCAAGGCCATACATGGAGAGCCAAGAGACAGAGCACAGAGAAAAGAATTACATTAGCAATACAGATTTTTCCCTCGGCTACTAGTTCAAAGAAGGGCAGGGAAAATCTGCTTTTCATTAGGCTTTGTTGACTTAAACCAGGTTATAGGTCATTTTGGAAGTTGAAGGAAAAGTCCACATTACAGAAGAAGTCAGTCATTTTATTACATTCAAGAATGATTAAATATTTGGAATAATATGAAAGAAGAATAAGAATATAAAAGAAGCATTCTAATCTATAAATGTAACAAGTAACATTTTCAAATATGTTTATCTCATATGTATCTTCAGAACAGCAGTGTTTGTTTCTTTGTTTGTTCACTTGTATTTGGAGGCTATACCACTTTACATCTGGCTGTCATATTAATGTGTCCACTGAAACTTTAAAAGGGGTTTACAGCCTTCCTGCAGCCCACCCCTGTGGAGTCAAAGTCCTCACCAATGGCTCCAGTTCATTTGTGCCTCCCGTTACCACTAATTATAACATTCCGTGGATTTTACTTTGACGGCAAAATGGGCAAAAATACGACAACAACCTCATTTGGCCCTCTGGCCAGTTTGCCTAAATCACAGCACTGATGTCTTGAGTGCTAATGACCTGAATGGCTGCAACAGAGGCAGACCTCAGAGCTCACTCTGGGCCATTTGGGGCTAAATTAAAGCCACTCTCTGTACAGTGAGATGTGAATCTGTAATAAACTGATAAATGTATTTTAAATCTTTGTAGCTTTTAGTCGGGGCTATTAAAGCACAACATTTATCTGTACAGATAACTTCTCTGGCAGAGTTTGTCTATTCTAATCCAATGATGGGTGGGCCAGGGTGGTTTTTAATGCCATCACAGTGAAGTGAAGACTCTGTTCTGCTCACTCCTCCACCTTGTCAACTTTAAAACCTTTTCCACTGAAAATACCTATATTGAGAATCAAAGTACTGCAACTACTACTACAGCACCACTAACCCTTCCCTTAAAGAGGACCTACTCTGCTCATTTATAGGTTCGTACTTGTGTTTTGGGTTTCCACATGAATGTTCAAAAACATTTTATTTTCCTCAAGCTGTCTGTCCTGGAACAACCCGTATTCACCTTGTGTCTAAAACACTGTTTTAGCACCTGTCTCCCCAGGACCCCTACCCAAATAAGATCAGCGTTCTCTGATTAGTCAGCATTTTAGGGTCTTCTATATCTCCGCCTCTCTGCACCCTCATTGCAGCTGGGACTGTAGCAAAGAACTGTGGCACTGTCTACTGTGAAAAATGACCAATTATAGCTTCTAAACACAACCAGACATGTTCCAGCAGGAATCTGATATGAAATTTGGGAGAAATTAACAACATCAGCAACGGAGATTACATGTTTTACATAGCAGTGTAGGCTACATAATGTAAACTAGGGCTGCAGCTATGGATGATCTTAGTAATCAAGTATTCTACCAATAAATCCATCTGTTAATCAAGTTATTGGATATGAATTGGGTTACAACAGTATGAGATTTGTACGGTATGATAATCGTCTCAGAAAATATTGTATTATCATGGTATTACAGAATTATTATTATTATCAGTCAGATTGACTCTTAAGGGAATGAAAACTGAAGGGTTATTGTTGGTTGAACAAATGTGTTATTACTTTAATTGAAAGCTAAAAGCATTTTGTTAATGGAAGTATGTGTAAAATGCCTCACCTTAGAAAATAACTAAAATAAAGGGAAGATTCAGCGTCCAGTTGCTTTTTTTTTTTTTTTTTCAATATCGTAGATAAGCGAATGTCCACAGTATGATAACAATCACCTTTTATATCACTGTACACCTTGAAACCTGTATATCACTGCAACCCTAGATATGAAATAATTTTTCTTAGTAAATAAACAAAAGAGAAAAAGGACTTTTGCTGGCAGATGAGTGGGTAGCTCCAGGTTCTGGCTGCCCAGAGGGAGGTTAACGTTTAGGTTACCTTATGAGATGCTGAAGTATTGATGTGGTGTTATTGTGGTAACCTAGATTGTAAGGATGTGCCAATTGTGAAATTCTGGGCCAATATCAAGGTTTAAAATAATGTTGTTGTTGTTGTTGTTGTTATTTTTGTTTATTTTGTTTTCATTGTTATGTATTCCCCCTTTTGTGTGAGACATAGAAATCTTAATTATAAAAACATAACGAACAGTTCTACAGTCTTTCAGTCCTTCATTACACTACCTTTAAATGAGCACAAATTCAGTCATACACATTTATGAAAAAACCTTTAAAATAAACTACTTTCACATGAAAAACATTTTTGAAAAGTAATACCTGCTTCAAAAGCCTTTTTAATATATAAATAGCATATCATAATATCCTCTCTAATATCTGTTTGATATTGCTGTGAAAACATCAACAAATATCTCCTTCAAATAACTGGATTCATTTAACTTTCTCACTAAAAGCTTCATTGAACAAGATTGCATTTGAACACATCATGAGAACGTTCTAATTCAGTCTTCGACCAATATTCACTTTTACTAAATAGAGCTTGAACACATACTAATATAACTCAATGCAGCTTCCAGCATTAAGTTCCACCACAATGTTACCTAGCTCTCCTCCTGCTGATTTCAACATACATGTGCAGTTTACAATGTAGCATTATCAGGGAAACAATAGGTTGTGTCTCCTGACTTGTTGATACTAGTGAGTTTACTGCGTCCTTTCGTCCCTACAGCATCCTGGGGAGACTTTTGTTTTTGTCCAAACACATTTTCTGTTGTCCCTGGGACAACAAGACACTGTTAGTCTTTAGCCCTGCTTTTTAGCCTGCATGAAAGTGATGTGACACAACAGAAAATCATGGGTCACTGCCATCTGGGGATGTCATTTTATTTGACAATAGGCTGATGGCAGTCAACAAGGTGGATATCAATTAATATCGATGTGCGGCCAATAAATCACTGCATTCCTACTAGTTTGGTTTTACCTCAGACTTACTGTACAGTATTTTTGTTTCAGCTTGAAATGATCCCAAACTTTAGATAATTTCTGACATTTTCTCTGGCCTGTCTCACCTCTTCATCCCTCACTATTGTCTTTGTCATTTTGAAATCAGCACTATCAAATCATATCTCCTATTTTGAGCACAGATGTCTAGTGTCCACAGTGTAAGTGCATTGTGCCACAGTAGTAATCACCCATGTGAAACACAGTGCACTGTATGTAGTTACATGGATAAAACGAAGCTTCAATGCAGACAGTTTGCATCGATGATTTTCAGTAATTGAGTCACTTGAGTTTCTTGAGGAATTGTTTCAGTACCAATCTAAACACTCACAGTGGCATGGCTTGAGCAGATGACCATATAAAGACATCCATGATGAGCTGACGTCAGCTTGCAGAAAAGTAGAAAAAAAGATTGGAAACAGTATTCAGAACAGTCCAATGCCTACTTTTACATAGCTTGGTCTCATTATTTGAAACTTTGGCCCTGTTTGATATGAACATTGTAACATTATATATGTGACAGAAAATTTGTAAAAGCGTAATATGTCCCGTTGAACCAGGGTACTTCCACGTTTGTTGAAAAGTTTACCAGCCCCCTTAATGCATTTATATATTGAGCATTTGCGGATGTGAGGACATCACAGGATCTACTGGCTTTTTGTCACTCTCCACCCTTTCTAATCTCTCCACACACACTCGTTCTCATATGCCCCTGGCCCCTTTAGCCCATATCATTTATCTCCTGCAGCCCCGCTGTGATCAGGTGGCCGTATCTGATTCTCCCCCTTCCTCTTATTCCCTCCTCTTCCCCTCTGCCCGGGGCGTTTGCTGCTCCCAGCATACCGGACGCTTCCCCACCGCTCCCAGGAGGAGCTGACGAGAAGTCCAGATAGATCCTGAGCAGCTGAAAGCTTCATACGCCTCTCACTGTATGTTGGTCTAACCTGCCAGTATCAGGAGGCCACGTTACAGGATACACTACACAAGAAAATAGAGTCGCAGGAATTTTCATGTCTGTGTCAATCTGTAGCATACATCTAGATTTCTTGTGTCTGTCCTAAACTGTCTGTGTGTGGCACGTGTGTTTTAGAAACACCAGCACTGTAAGCTTGTCTGTCACATCTGAAAGGGATTTGAAAAAGGAGCAAAGGGTATTATGATAAGTTCACCGCAAAGTGGTTTTGACAGCCACGTCAGTTTGAATGTTTTCAGAGGTCCAGTACCCAAGGTGCGTGCTGCTGGTGGAAAAAGAAAAGACAGGGGATTATGAAGACAAGATGTCCACTCCTGCTCAAAAGTCTCTGCAAATCTGTTTTTTATCGTCTGTTGCTTTGACTTCAAAATGCAAGTCTGATTTATCTCCCTCTTTTTGTTTTTCAGCCCTGCAAGGCCCTTTCGATTCCCCAAAAGGTGAGACCTGCCAAAAACTGTTCCTCCTGTGTTGATGTTCTGGATTGCAAAACTCTCCTCCTCCTCCTCCTCGTCTTCTTCCTCCTATTCCTCCCTTTATTTGTGTCATCCATCCATCACTGCTCCTGTGGAGCCGTCATTCCTCAGCAGTGAGTCATGAGAGTTATCGATGGGAGTTGTGTATCTCTATCTGTACCTGGCCTCTGTTAAGCAGCAGCTTGGATCTCCTCATCTCTCCGTTGAGCTGCGGTAAACTCTGCTGTCTCAAACCTAATCCAGCAGACTGTTTAATAGAGGATTACAGCTTCTTCAGGGCTTTCATAAAGGTTCAGGGGCAATATCACAAGTGTTTTGAGTTCTGCATAGGGATGGAGACTCAAAGTATGCACAGAAAAAAAACACAGAGACAGCTACTAACAGTACTTGTAATCAAGCAAATGTCTTAAAGGGATAGTTCAGATTTTTTTGAGTGGGGTTGTTTGTCCATAGTAAGTGTGTTACCTACAGTAGATGTCTGTCAGCACTCCCTTAGTTTGGAGAAGCAGGCAGGAGTACTGCCAAGTAATTTACTGCTGAAGAGGGGAACAGCAATAAAACTTATTTTAACCACCAAAAAAAATCAGTATCAGTTTAAGTGTATTAGTGTTGACCTCAATGCTTTGAAGCTGCAATCTTTTCCATGGTAATTGACATCTCAGTGCTTTGCTTTGTATTTTGTTCAGTTTTTTTCCAGTTAACTGGTGGAAGAAGCTGAAAGGAAGTGGCCAGTGTCCTCAGTGCAATCATTCAGCCCTGCTTCTAGCAATTAAATGAAAGCTGTTAATTGCTTTAGTTCCCCATCTATACTCTCGTCAGAGCCACCAGACTCCTGGTTTGCCGCTGCCTCAAACAGTGTTTTGCATGTATTATTGGGTGACTTAAGTAAATCAGAACTAACACTTTTTATATGCCAAAGTCACAAAATAACACAAACAAACTAACTGATCGAAGCAGTGGTAGACCAGCAGCTCATGTGTTCAGCAATGTTAAATTCATATTTTTTGGTGGCAAGGAAAAATTGTGAAAATATTCAAAATATATCAATCAATTTTATTTATAAAGCCCAGTATCACAAATCACAATATGCCTCAGAGGGCTTTACAGCATATGATCCCTCTGTCCCTAGGACCCTTGCAGCTGATAAGGAAAACCTCCCCCCCAAAAAAACCTTTAACGGGGAAAAATACGCTTATGCTTAAGCTGATATTGATTTTTTTTAGATGGCTAAAATACATTTTGTCGTTGCTCACGTCCACAGCAGTAGATGGTTAGCTTCTGTGGCAGTACTCCAGACTGCTTCTCCAAACTGTGGGCAGGCAGCCTGCTATCTAATATAGGTAATACACTGACTATGGAGAGTACCTCATAGAACCCCACTTCTGAAGATCCAGACTATCCCTTTAAGCAAAGCCAGGATGGAACAGGCTATATTTAACCTAACTTTTATTCTTTTTGTCATTTAGTGAGCAGTTTGTCAAGAGTTTTTGTCTTCTGTTTCTCTAAATACATAATTGAGTATGAAGTTACCAGGTGTCTCAATCTCAAATTATCAGTGAGTAAGCTGTTGTCACAGGTCCTGTATATGTCACCACTCTGTTCACTGACATAAAGTCTCCTTGTTTCCAGCTATGCCGAGCTGATAGCTGACTGGCCAGTGGTGGTGCTGGGGGTGTGCACAGTGCTCATCGTGGTGTGTGCCCTTGTGGGCATCCTGGTGCCTGACCTGCCGGATTTCTCTGACCCACTGCTGGTGAGTACAGACCCGTGATACTCTCTGCTTCCAAACATGCAGCCTCACCTAGACCTGAAAACTGAGGATGTGTGGTCTGTGGAGGGAACAAGGAGATCAGCATGGCTTCAGGCCAGAAGCTGTTTGAAATATTAAGAGTCCTTATGCAAACAGAACACATTTTATGAGACAGACATTTTCCACTACACATATAAACAGTGCCAACACTTTGACATTATTATGTATTAAAGACTTTATCAGTTGCATTTGGTTTCTCTTGAATACTGAGTGGTTTTGTTTATGTGTTAGGAGTAATGTTAAGAACCCTGCTCACTTTGAAAGTAATCCAGTTGCAGATATATGTGACTGCCTTCCTGGTACGCCTTTATTAGCTCGTACTGGGTGGAACAAGCTAACTTGAAAAGTGCAATGTTGCAGAGGGATATTTAGAGTGTCTTCCATAAGTAAGGATGGAAGTTTCAAGTAGAATGGTAAGCTACTGTACGATAGTCAGTTGGCATCAGTATACCATAACATACAACCCCAATTCCAAAACATTTGGGATGCTGTGTAAAACATGAATTAAAATCAGAATACATTGACATATATTCAAATAAAAACAGCTCAAAGACAAGATATTTAATTTTCAAACTGATAATTGTTTTTGTAAATATACACTCATTCTGAATTTGATGCCTGCAACATGTTTCAAAAAAAGTTGGGACAGGATCATGTTTACCACTGTGTGACCTCACCTTTTCTTTTAACAACACTAAGTCAGTGTTTGGGAACTGAGAACACTAACTGTTGAAGTTCTGAAAGTGAAATTCTTTCCCATTCTTCCTTGATACAACACATTTTGCACTTCATAATGTGCCACACATGTTCAATGGGAGTCATGTCTGGACTGCAGGCAGGTCAGTCTAGTACCTGCACTCTTTTACTATAAAGCCACACTGTTGGAACATGTGCAGAATTTGTCATATTGTCTTGCTGGAATAAACAGGGACGTCCCTGGAAAAAAAAAAACATTGTCTGGATGTCAGCATATGTTGCTCCAAAGCCTGTATGTGCCTTTCAGCATTTATGGTGCATTCACAGATGGATAGAGTATCAAAACCCGATACTAAATGAGCCTCAGGGCTAAGTTATCAAAGATCATAGCATTGATAAGCTTCAATGTTATCAGTTCTTTTATTGGTACTTTTTAGTAATTTGATTTAATTCATTATCATCCTGCAGCCTCTCACCTCTGCTCTATGCAGGGGCTGACCTCCTGCACATACACACACAAACACAAACACACACAAATCCCCACATGACACGGAGTAGTCAGTGAACAGCAGAGAGGGCGGAAACAAAATGACGATCACTCAAAAATTAATAACTCGAGTTGCTGTAAGTGCAGTTAAACCTTCGCGAGTAAAAAGCCAATGATTTATCAGTACATGTGTTCAGCAAGCATAAACATGTAAGCATGTAGACAGCAATATTACATACTGCTCTGTCCACAGTCTCTCATCCGCTGCCGCTGACATTATGTTTTACACAAGGACAGTACGCTAGCTTGGCTAATAAGGAATTGTTACAGATAGGCTAAAATGACAGCTGTCTGTATGTAAACTAAGCATTTAGTTTAGTTTGCCACTTATCTTAAAATGGGCAGATACTTTTAAACTTAGCTGCTGGCTGACACAAAGAGCCCCTCCTCTCTCTACCAGCACTAATGATACCTGCACACAGTAAATCACATCAGCAGAGGACAGGAGGAATCATTTAGATATATTTGAAATATTCAATGATCCTGTTCTGAATTTATTCTTTTTAAATTAATTAATTTTCTAAAAAGCAACAAAGTATGTTGTATTAACAAAGTACCTAACCAATAAGGAGTATTGATAAGAGTAATAGTATCATTAAATCTTAATAATACCCATCCCTACTGATGTGAGAGTTACCCATGTTGCCATGGGCTCTAACACACCCCCATGCAATCACAGATGCTGGCTTTGAACTTTGGGCTGGTAACAATCTGAATGGTTCTTTTCCTTTTTTAGCCCAGAGGACATGATGCGCATAATTTTTAAAGAATTATGGTTTTCACTTATGAACTCCAGGCAATATCTGGAGAATCAGGTCCAGACATTTTCTTGAGTTTCTCTTTCACACATGTATAACACAACAGGAGATTGTCAGAAGAGTTCTCACCTATTGGAAATTCATTGTTTGGTTTATGCGAGTGGTGGTGCCAGGATAGAACGTGTTTGAGGCAGGACATGACGCTAATTACGCCAGTCACCTAGCCGGTTCATGATTTAGTTAGAAACAACTGAGTCTCTTGTCTGTTTTTTTAATTCGTCTGACAATTTCAGCTTTTGCCCTTAGCGACAGAAGTTCCTGAATCTCGTCATCTCTCCAGTTAGACATTTTCATTGCAGTCTTTGTGTAAATGTCCTTCACCCTTGAATGTCTGTTTTCTTCCAGTGTCACATGATTTAAATGATGGAAACATCATCAATGCAAAATATCTTTTGTAGTGTATTCAATTGAACATAGGTCAAAAAGATTTTCAAATCATTGCATTCTGTTTTTATGTGTTTTACTCTGTGTCCCAACTTTTTTTGTATTGGGGTTGTAGTGTTAGCACTGTGAATACAATAATGATATTCCAATTATCAAGACTTGTTCGCTTTCTTTCTTTGTTCCCAAAAGGGTTTTGAGCCACGAGGAACAGCCATTGGGCAGCGACTGGTGACCTGGAACAACATGGTGAAGAACACGGGCTACAAAGCTACACTGGCCAACTACCCCTTTAAATACGCTGATGAGCAGGCCAAAAAGTAACTTGACACACGCAGTTATGCACACTTTTTTTTTTTCAATCAAGGAACTGTCTGAGAGTTTAGGAAAGTACGAAATAACTTAAAGTGGCTATGATTGATGTAGCTTCTCATTTCACAAAATGTTTGGGTTTTTTTTTCACATTAACAGGGTTACACATAAACAGCATTATGAACAAAAGCAAAATATTGTTACATATGGCAGCTAGATGCAGCCTCACAACACCAGCCCACTATTTCATATGTGTCAGTGAGAGGTCAATGGGGAACCAGGGTTGGAGACTGAGGGTGGTGATGGGGGGCTACAAGAGTTGAAAGATACTGTTGACAGACGTGCTGAAAAGTCTGAATCCCCTTTTGAAAGAAAAGGGGAGCAAAATAGAGATCTGTCCATCCACAAGGTCATCTACTGTGCTCTGTCAGTGGGAGGCTGTCCACTAATCAGGAGCAGGTCTTTGCATGTTTGTGTCTGTCTCTCTGTCTGCTGTCTGTTTCTGTCTCTTTGACTGTGCACTCTTCAGTTCAGATCACTGTTCATATCAGATCAGTTTTTCTGCTATATTGATAGAGGCAGAACCAGTATTGATGCCTTTATTTGCATTAATTTAGCCTCATTTTAAGCATCTCCTAAACAACAAATAAACTCACCTTTTTGGCATTTAATGGTTGGTTTGTCCTATGACACTGATGCCTGAATCATGATGTTGACACTGCAGTTACATCACACCCCTCTGAACCAGACTTTTGTGTTCTGTGTTCATGTGGTTCAGATGAGTTGCGGCTCCACTCTGCTGATTAGAAAATGGATTCTTTCAGCTACAGTCTGTGTCTCTGTGTCTCTGTCTCCTGCTGGTCTGTGGCTGTCTTTGTCTCCCCTTCTGTCTCGCTCCATGCATCTGTCTGCAGATGTAATTGTGTACTTATGTGCGTACGGTGTGTGTATGAGAGGCCTCTGCTGCTGTCAGCAAGCTTCCCTGCCTCATCCCCTCAGTCTGTCAACCCCTCAGTCTCTCTCTGACAGACACCCGATTACTCTGCCTTCCTGTTTCTAGCAGAGGACGTGGCCCATAAAAAACCCCACATACACACAGGAAGCCTGTCTGAACCATAATCCTCATCCTCACTGGCATGTAGGCATTACACTACTCAGAAAACATGGCTGCAGCATCATTCCTGCAAAACAACACATAAACACACAGTACATACATACAGACCAAAGACTTGTCTGCACGTCGCCCCCTCAGGCCTCCTGTTCAATCAGACCCTCTATTATGATTATTATAATAATGAGGTCAGTATCCTGGTACTGCAGTGCGTCATTCATCTGATTTGGGGGGGAACAGAAATTACTGCTGCTTATTTATTACTAAGCATCAGATCCGCTTCCTTCATTTTGGATCACACTGACTTTGCAGCCTTGGACACAGCCACATCTGTCCACCATTTATAACATCACGCAAACAGACTGTCTGCTTTGTTCCTGCTCAGATTGAACCAGTCACTGTATATAAAGATGGACAGCTCCCCAAAAGTAATAATATTAACTTGTATATAGCACCTTTCAAAACAGGGTTACAAAGTGCATCGCAGATTATACAATAGAATACCCACCCTGTCCCCAACAAAAAACACATCCAACTTAGTTAATACAAAAGAGTTAAAAAAAGGTTTTTAATTATTAGTTTTTATGCCTCAGTCAGTCAATATGTCTTCAGGTTGTCCGTACATCATCTGTCCGTCTGCTTAGACCCAAGGATGAACTTAGATTTGGTGGTCAAAGGTTAAGGTCACTGTGACCTTGTCTGTCTCATACTTGTGAACATAATATCTCAGGAACACCCCAGGGAAATTTCTTTGCATGAATATCTTATTAGAATCAATGATGGACTGATTGCTAGCCAGCCAGAACTGATTGCTAGCCAGCCTGCTAGCAAGGCATTATTAGTTTATTTTTTCTGCAGAGCGGTAAACACAGAGTATCATCAGTGTCATGTAAGCTTACTGGTTATTTTGAACTGACATCAATGTGTTTACTTTGAAAGAATATTTTTTCACTTTTGCTGTGTATTTCCAAAATCTTAAAATCAATGAAGCCAAAACATCTTGATCGCCCGCCTGCTGGCTTGCTGCAGTATAGGTCGTAAACCCCACTCCCTCCTTGTTAGCAGATGGGACATGGGCCAAACTAAAAAATCATGTATACATGTACATGTATATAAAGACATTTTTGTCTATCTTTATTATATACAGTCTGCGGTTTGAACTGATTAGCAATGGTACGGTCTTCCTCTCCAAATACGGGTTTTTTATCTCCAGCAGTTTAACAAAATGATGATAATGATTTGTGTACATTTTTCCAGCTATATTTCGACAGAAGTGCTGTAAAACTCAATGAATAAAATAAATACAGTATAAAACTAAGATTTGCTGCCAAATGCTCTAATAGTCAGCTCATTAAAGAGTGATTAAGAAGCAGTACCGGACTCTGTAAAAAATGTCTGCTCAATGATTTGAATCTGCCAGTCACCTTCAGAGTATGGTTATTTTTTCAAGCATAAAATGAATGGTCATTGGCTGACTGAATAATGATACATCTAAGTGATGTAGCTGGTGCTAATGTTATTATTGTTTTGTAGTCACCAGGAGCCCCGGTGGCCCGAGGACCACTTTGACAGAGACAAACGGCAAGCAGAGTGGGACTTCAGTAAAGAGTTCTTCTGTGATGTGCCAGGTAAGATTCTGAATACAGAAATGACAATTTTGACCAGATGGTGGAGAATATCAGAAAGCTCTGAAAAAATAAATCAAAAAGATCCCAGGCAACTCAGATGAACCCCACTACACTACACATTATAAGTTATAAACACTGGTTTGATGAGGAAACACGTAAATCATAGTATGTACTGAACTCTTCACTGGTCCAAAGTGATGTACCAGAATACTAATGGACCTGATAAATTTGATCTAAGAACTGATTGAACTTGATCATTTTTAAAACATATTTACCCAACCAGTTTTGCCCAAGATATAAGAGACCTGACCTGATGCATGTCCGAGAGGAGAGAAACCTGAGACCCAGATGGGTTGGGTTTTGGGTCTGTCGTCCATTTTATGGACCCAACAAGCGCTGTAATAACAAATGCTGCTTGTCTTCTTTTGCTAAAAACTTTTTTTCATGTCAGATACAACATACTGTTCTTACCAGTCTTATAGGTATATGTTTAATAATGTTTCAGATGTAACACCCGCTGTTGATTGTGGGTTAGATTGCAACACAAATGTTAATGTTTAAGTTTTTGTCAATATGGCCATGCTACACATTATTAGATGGTCAATCATTACTTTATTATGCAGAAACCATGAGTACCAAAGTATAATTCATTCAGATGTACCAGCATGGTAAACCAGACAGATGGTGAAAAAAAAATGGTGAAGAGTCCCTACCTTGGAAGTAGGTCAGTCCTAATAGGCCATATATCCATTCTGCAATTATTCATATTCCTTTACTCTGAAAGGGTGCACCAATCAAAAGAATCCTAATGGTTTTTCATTAAAAATAACCCATATTGTTTGTATTGATTGTTTTCTAATAGATAGCCAGTTGCTGACCTTAGTTAAAGATTGCAGGTATGAAGGCATTGTTATTTCTCACCATGGGCCTGTGGAATTGCAAATAGACTTCCCAAAGAAAGGTACTCAGCCCCCATGGCATTTTAATAATGCCTCTCATGCTGATGAGGCATTTGTTAATTGTGTCAATACACAAATTGATATTTTTTTTGTCCATAAATGATACTCCAGATGTTAGCAAATCCACTCTCTGGGAATCGCTTAAAGGTTTTTTAAAGAGGAGAGATAATTTCATACACCTCCTGGAAGGGCAGGACTAGGGAAACATGTCTCAAGGATCTCGCTGACTTAATTAAGCAATTGGTCAATAAATACTGATATGCTCCCACTCCTGAACTTTTCAAGGAGAGGTCGACTCTTCCGACAGAGTTTGACTTGATGACCACCCGCCATACGCAACAGAAACTCCTACAGTCTCGCTCTGGCCCAACAGATTAGACAGCCCATGGCCTCTACTGTGATTACAAGCATTTGTAAACATGATGGTCACATCTCTAACAATAAGCAGTAAATAAATGATGAGTTTAAAAGATTTTATCAGAGCATAAATTTACCTCAAGTAAGTGAATCATTCATGGAGCAATTTGAAAAACCTCAGTCTATAGAATAAACCAGAGCAGCCCTTTAAAATATGCAAAATGCAAAATGACCTGATGGATTCACAGTTGAATTTTTCAAGAGGTTTGGGGACAAGCTCCAATTTTGCGCTCTGTTTTTAATGAATCCTTTGTCAAAGTCCACCCTCCTCCAGCCTCTATTTTTGTCCTACTGAAAAAGGACAAGGATCCCCTTAGCTGTTGGTCATTTTGTCCTATATTGCTAATTACTGTAATATTGTGAACTATTGGCTTAAATCTTAGCCCATTGCTTGGGGCCCACCCTTCCTTCTATAATTTCTCCGGACCAATCTGATTTCATACAAGATCACCTCTCTCCTTAATATTTGTCGCCTTTTAAATATGTATTCCGTACACCCCAATCAACCATTACCTGAAGTAATAATCTCTTTGGATACTGAAAAAGCATTTGATAGGGTTGAGTGGGGCTACCTGTTTCAGTGTCCAGAGATTTGGATTTGGTCCAAAATTCACATCATGGGTAAAATTGCTATATAAGTCCCCAACATCATCAGTGCGTACCAACAACATTAATTCCCAGTATTTTCTGTTACAACATGGCACATGGTAATGGTGTCCAATTTCCCCTCTTCTTCTACTTAGGATTTTGCAAAAAGAGACGGAAATCACCTGATGATTATATATATAGATGCTAGGGTACTTTTTTTGTATTTGGGAGCTGTTTAAATGCGCAATTACTAATTTGTCATATCTTCAAGAATATCGTTATTGCAAAAATACCCTGAAATATCGTGGTATTATTTTAGGGCCATATCATCCACCCTTAGTGTACTCCTTGGAACTGAGCTGATTGTATAGATCTTCTGTGCTGCCGGGGAAAAGATGTGTGTGAAGCAGCCATGTTATCACAGACATGGATGTAAACTGTAGCTGCAACTTGATGGGTTCGGTGAGGCATACAACCTCAAGGCAGTAATTCCAGTTTTCACCACACTTTGGTTCTTGTAATCTGATCCTAAGTCTGCCTAAATATCATGCAAGTTACACACACAGCTCTCATGCATTTCTCTCATGATAACTACTGATCACAAGTCTTCTCGGATGCACATGGGTATTACACATAATGATGAAAAGACTCAGGACCCGCAATAATAGAAGGGGACCTAACCTGGACTTAGCTGAACATTATTTAAAGTGGACCCAAATCTGTATGGGTCCTGGCTCTGGTCTTGGGTCCAAGGGTCCTGCCAGACTGGTGAAAAATTTCAGGATTTATTCTTTTCATTATGATGTATTTTGAGTGGAATTAAAAGAAAAAGTCTTTAGAAAAGAAAAGTCTTTCAGCTGCAGGATCTTTGTCAGTGGGATGGTAGAACTGTCTTTGTCTCATATTTTCCAACTTTTATTAATTCAGGAACGATGGTGTTCTCATCTAAGTGATAAACTTCTTTTCTTTCTGCAGGTGACAGTTACTCTAGACTGGTGTTCACATCAGCTGAGGGGAAGAGCCTGTGGAGTATTCAGGCCATCAAATCCATGTGCAATCTGGACAACACAAGGGTGCGTATATACAACAGGGCAATTCTTGAGACTGGTAATGATACAGTTGTTGCATCTTTTAATTTAGTCAGAAGGTTTTTGGCTCTCATGCTTTTTTTGGTTATGTTTTCTTAATCTGTACATTTGTCTGTGTTTACAGGTCCGTTCCCATCGTGACTACTGGAGTCTTTGTCAGCGCACCAATGACGCCTCCTGCTGCCCCAGCTGGACACTTGGTAACTACATTGCTGTCCTAACTAACAGGTCGTCCTGCCAGAAGATCACAGAGCGTGATGTATCGCACACGCTCAAGATCCTGCGCTCATGTGCAAAGTACTACCACAATGGCACACTGGGACCCGACTGCTGGGACATGGCCTTGCGACGGAAAGACCAGCTGAAGTGCGCCAGTGTGCCCCGGAAGTGCACCAAGTACAATGCTGTCTACCAGATCCTTCACTTCCTGGTAGACAAGGACTTCCTCAGTCCCAAGAGCCTGGAGTTTCCTCCACCTGTGCTCAAATACAGCATGCTCTTCTCCCCCACAGAGAAAGGAGAGTCTATGATGAACATTTACTTGGACAATTTTGAGAACTGGAACTCTTCAGACGGCATCACCACAGTCACAGGGATCGAGTTTGGCATCAAACATGACCTCTTTCAGGACTACCTCCTCACAGACACGGTGTATCCAGCAATAGCCATAGTGATCGTCCTGCTGGTCATGTGTGTGTACACACGCTCAGTTTTCATCACTCTGATGACAATAATAGCCATCATCAGCTCACTCATTGTGTCTTACTTTCTTTACCGAATGGTCTTCAACTTTGAGTTCTTCCCCTTCATGAACCTCACGGCCCTCATCATCCTAGTCGGCATTGGTGCGGACGATGCCTTCGTGCTTTGTGATGTGTGGAACTACACCAAGTTTGACAAGCCACATGCTGAGCTGGCAGAGACGGTTGGTGTGACCTTACAGCATGCCGCCCTGTCTATGTTCGTCACCAGCTTCACAACTGCTGCAGCTTTTTACGCCAATTACGTCAGCAACATCACTGCCATACGCTGTTTTGGTGTCTACGCGGGTACTGCCATACTGGTAAACTATATTCTCATGGTGACATGGCTTCCAGCTGTGGTGGTGCTACACGAACGCTACCTGCCTAATATGTTTCCCTGCACCAAGCCTCCACACCAGCAGAGAGGTTATTGTACCCGCATGTTCTGGGCAGGTCTTTGTCAGAAGGCCAACAAATGCCTGTTTACTGTGTCTGAGGCATCCAGGATCTTCTTTGAGAAGGTCCTGCCTTGCATCGTCATTAAACTGCGCTACCTCTGGCTCTTCTGGTTCCTCGCCATCACTGTGGGCGGGGCCTATGTGGTTTGTGTCAATCCTAAGATGAAGCTCCCGTCTCTGGAGCTGGCGGAGTTTCAGGTGTTCCGATCCTCACACCCATTTGAGCGCTACGACGCAGAGTACAAGAAACTGTTCATGTTTGAGAGGGTTCATCATGGCGAGGACCTGCACATGCCTATCACCATTATCTGGGGCGTGACACCTGTGGATAATGGGGACCCCCTGAACCCCAAGAACAAGGGAAAACTAATGCTGGATAACAGCTTCAATATCGCCAGTCCAGCATCTCAGCTGTGGATCCTCAGCTTCTGCCAGAAACTGAGAAATCAGAGCTTTGTCTTTCAGTCTGAGGAGCAGGACTTCACCAGCTGCTTCATCGAGACATTCAAACAGGTCAGTACTGTGTATTACATGTGTGTAATATACGGTAGTGTTGCACTGTTTACCAAACTTTAGGTGTATTTTTATTAGGGGTGTAAATCACCAGTTTCATCACGACACGGTAGTATATTGATTCTTTGGACAATGATACAATATTTTCCGATATTACAAATTCTACTACAATAGGATTCGATATGGTTCAGGGGTCTGCGATCGATATTAGGTGATATTAAATGCCCAATAAACACAGTCTGTTGCAAAAGACGCTGCCACCCCTCTCTTTTTTACTTTTGGCCATAAAAGATAAAAACAACACATAAATAATAAGTGCAGTTAATAAGTGCAGTAAAGTTCACTTTAAACTGACTCCAGTGACACAAATAAAAAGCAAATGGGATAAGTTAACCATCAGGGCTTTCTTTCAGAGAGACCTTTCTGGAAGAAATCTCATTTTAACCCAAACCATCATCTTTTTCATAAAACTTCAGGAATATCTGGCTTAAAGCCCTGAAGGAAAACTCCTCCAAACAGCCATAAAACACAGATTAACAACAAGATCATTCAACAAAAGTACAAAATTCAGCTGAGTAATAACTGCCAAGGTCCATGGACAAAACAATTGTTTTTTGCTGATCATCCATCATTAGCTTTATCATGTTTACACTGCATTAAAGGGATAGTGCACCCAAACATGAAAATTCAGCCATTATCTACTCACCCTCATGCCGATGGAGGATCAGGTGAAGTTTTAGAGTCCTCACAACACTTGCGAAGATCCAAGGGGAGAGGGGGTAGCAAGACAACTCTACTTAATGGAGGTTTATGGCGCCCCAGATTCAAACATCCAAAAACACATAATTGAAACCACAAAATAATATAATACTCCCCCC